TATCACTGCGGATGCTGAAGTATATGAAATTACGGTTAACGAAAAGAAGTGAAAGGGATAAAAACAATGTCCTCACTCGAGCAAGTAATTTCGCATCATACTGTTAGTTTTGGTTGGATCAACTAGCAAGCGGAACAGACACGGTAGAATAGAATTGCGGTACGATGCAGCAGGAGAGGATAGGACCTTAAGTTTGAAACGGGTGAAGAAATTAGGTAATTTTATTGATAGATCACAATGTAGTGAATGAATAGGGTCGTTTAAAATTTTTGAGGAAAATCTAGTACAAGCGTCTAGGTGCTTGTTAGCAATCAACTCCACAAGGGACTCTCTAGACGATCCGCTGCATCTGGAAATAAGCTTTATGGACCGTACAATAAATGTGTAGCTATTTTTGAGTAACCCAGGGAAGATAACTGGAGAACAGTAGAGTTAGTGCGGCAGTATACATGCAGTCACCAATCTAAGAATCGAATCATCTGGTACTGAAAGTACTTTAAGTCGAAGGCGCAAAATAACAACGGTCTAACCTTACAACGTGAATGGACCAAGATAAGTTTCGGGAGATAAAGATCCCTAGCTCCTTAATACCTGGCGGTCTGGGTATGAACCGGTCACTCACTGCCAACGGAGAAGTGGCGTCCAAAACAATTCGCAACTTGTCCGCTCGGAGAAACAAGAATGTCACCTGACGACTTTTAAAAGGGTCCACAATCATTCATCGGGACGCTGAGCTAAGCACTTGCTCATCTGGATTATTTTGAAAAGTAGATGTCCCAACGATTAGACCGACGCATTCCAAAGCGATATTGTCAGCATACTTGCATTTAATAAAGGTAGATGGTATGGGGAGCTTTTCATTGTACAAAGAAAATACGGCGGGTGAGAGGATAGCTCCCTGTAGAACACCACGACTAGAGAGAAAAGCGAAAGACTTCGCTCCATTAATCTGGGTGAATTGAGTGCGGTTTGTGCATTAGTCTTTAACCACGCTGCCAACACTTCTTGGAACCCCATTTGCAGACACCTGGTTGAGCAGGATTAATCTATCAGCTCTACCTAAGGCATCTGTATACTTAAGAAACAGAACGCGTACTGCCCCGCTTTTTCTATCCAATGCAGATGCTACAGGATGCACAATATAGGACACTCATCTTTGTAAAACGATCTGCTTGTGATCTTGTAGTACGATATTCCTTCAACCAACTATTCAAAGCAGTCCGAATATCAGATCACTCGGGTCAAACAGACTATGGCTCACGTTTACCGTAGAATATTTACGGTCTCTGCCAAAATCTAACTTTCCATTATCACTCCTTATCCTCGAGTACTATAGGCTTATTTATGTAAACATGCATATAAGCGGCAGAAATGTTCTCAAATTCGCGAACATTATTTGCTCAACGTTTGTTTGGTAACGTCTTCGTTTGAGCTGTCAGGCGCATTACCAGTAGCTTCACTTCGTGTCTGTTTGTTTGGGACGTCTGAAGCACAGCTTGTTGCTTATGCGCAGTCTGATAAACTAGAAGACACTCTGATCTCTACACATCATGGTTGCAACACAACTACTCAGAGACTTCGCAACGAAACTTGCGGACTAATTACACAAAGAACCAGAAGTCATCCGATCTAATTCCTCCTGTGCAATAACCTGCCAGTTACTATCAAGCCTTGTGTAATTGCATGAACATTCGACATCAAACTTCGTACTTTCCCTTCTAATGGCCTACTTTTTATCCCGAAAAAACACCAAATGAATTCTTCCGCCATGGGCCGACAAATATATTGCTGGAACGAAATACACGAACTCTAGCGTTAACAAACACCGTGTGTTTCTGAGTACTTCAGCGGCACAGATTTACTGAATACTTATATCACAAATTCAAGAGCGTGACCATAACTATGCGTATTGTCCTAACTCTGTGGCTGAAACAAATTCTCATCCAATAAATGTACGTATTTTTTTCTCCAGCCACCTCCTTAAGAGCCAACAATTTTACCAACCTTTTTTTTATCACCGGCGATATAACACAAAGCGTCCCACATTGACTAGTAGTTGTCAAGCAACCAAGCCAGGCATAAAATTATTATTATTGTTATTATTCTTATGCGTATCACTTTCTTGATCCGGGAAATTGTCTGTTACGGCATAGATCAATATGTACCCATACTCTTGCATAGGCTATACGCATGTATGCAACAGCGAGGAATAAGATTCAGTTAATAGACATTTAGTCTATAATTATGCCGAAAGCCCAGGTTTGACGTCTTGGGTCTTCAGGCGCTTTTGAATTTCTTTTGTAATAGTTCATAGTGGGATTTTTCCCTTGTGCAAATAGGCATGATCGTACTCAGGTCTAGATAGTCTGCGAGTTTGTTATTGAAGGTTGCTAACTTCTCGCATGACCTGAGTGTAATTGGTGGTCTACGCCACAGGTAGCTAAATCTGACCAGGAAGAAATCGGACCGCATGCTTGTTTATGTCATTGATATATCATCTCTGTTGCGAAGCTCTCTAATCTAGCTGTGTTGCAATCCGATTGTAGGCTGATTGAAATACGTACTTTGTATGGCAGCTCGTAACGCAGCACCAAGTTATGCTTCGATCGTCGCATCCTAAGTGATTCCAGTTGAAGCTTCTTTCAGCGTGCTTGTTAATTCGTGACAGAATACTTACCAATCATATATATGGTAATCAACCTCTGCATATGTTCCAGAGTATTACTATCACTCTTATGTCGCCGCATATTAGCTACATACTGCAGAATGGGGCGGTGAGTGGCTTAAAACGCTCAACTCTAGCATGCGTTGTGTGGATTTGGTTAGCTATATAAAGCAAAAATTGGCAGGGAGACTAATTAGTACTGGGTTTGTTCGGAGAAACTGAAGGTAGATAAGCACGCAACATTGAGATCGCGCGTGGACGACTGCGTGCGTTGTTCAATGCAGGAATCGAACGGCCGTATGGCATGGTACTTGCTTTCCTATCCGAGTGGTTCGTCATCCACGTGTGCCACCATGCTTCGAGGTAATATAAGTCACCTTGAATGAGCTAAGGCGTTCCGTGCAGTTCATCACGCCACGTCTGTGAATAAAAGTGGACAACCATGTTTTACGGACATAGTGATGTAATTGATGCAGAGCAGGAACAGCAAAGGACCGAGCACGCAAAGTGATTGCATATGTTCTGGTACCGTGGAAAAGCTCAGATGTAATGTGACCACAACGACAGCTTTCTATCACACTATTTTGTATGCATCCCGCCGTAGGGCAAATGTCAATGTTAACGTTGGCTGCAGGATCGCATGGTATGCTCTTCGCACACAATCTTTTTGTACTCGTTACAGACTAGTTTGGTTTTTCTGTTACGTGATCTGGAATAGACATCTCTTGTCCTGTATAAGGCTGCTTGGCGCTTGGAATGTTGTGGGCGCTTCTGGAACAATTGAGCGACTGCGAGTGATATATATATATATATATATATATATATATATTCTTTCGGTTTGTATGTGGAGTAATCAAAGCAAGATCCAGTTCCATTGATAATGTCGTTTGTCCGGTGGTGGGCAAATGCGCGATTAATGGAGTGTGGTTGATTTGTCAGCAGATATCAATGTTAGTTTGAGATCTCCCTTTTGTCGAGGCCTGATAAGCGACGTTTCCAATTTATCTTGAAAGTGACCATATACTAGCGATAGGGTGAACAGGTTCATCAAAAGCTGGGGTATATCTAGCCTACTCACTTTAATGGCACATGGTGGCATGCATTATATCGCATCTTGGAGGATGGCCTGATTCACTTCTAACTTGGTGGATCTTGTTGAACGAGATATCAACCTTTGTTACTGCGAACTCGATGTATCCATACATGACCATGTCTCGGGCTTATGGAAGTTGCGAAAAAATAGCTAAGCACTTCACAGATGGCATCTGAGTCTTGAAGTAAGTAGTCCTCAGTGCCAGCGATTTTCGTAACCAAATGGAGTGCCATCACTGGTACTACGATGCAAGCTTTCTTTCCTTGCAACTTGTTCATAGTGCTATCTTTTCTCCTTTTTTTCTACCCGGTAACTACGTATGTCAGTCTTTAATTGTAGATTCTTGCATTTCTAAAATCATTGAACAGTCATTGGTCTTTCTTAATCTTGCACATATTTTCCTAGTTTCCAGTTGACTGTATTCAGTGACATCTTTGTAGACCTAAGCAATACCCTTCACACTGTGAGACTAGGAGTGCTGTACTATGACAGATCTGAGAATAAAACTGCTCTGCGACAGTGTACAACACTGGTAGAGAGGAAGGATACATCCCAGTTGTATGAGCGGATTTATTGTTGGAAGTGTTCCCATGTTATTCCGTGGATTGCCCGTCACGGTACAAAAGCGACTTTAGTAACCATTTTCATGTGGAAGCTAGGTCGCATCACTTTATGGTCGCTGTTAGAGAAACTAAGATCTCGGGCTGTGTGTTGGGGATCCCCAATGTGAATATTATGTACAATACATTGTTTGACCTGGTCGGACTGGTAACCCATTGCGTCTGCTACCACCCGCTCTAATGTAAGAATGAAAACGTGTGTGCAAAATCACAAATGTTTAATATGAGGAGTGGATTTTTTAATTTGTAATCGTCTTGTGACCGGACTTCTCGTCTTAGGCGTAATTGTGTGGTATCACCAGTTATGATATTGAACAGTAGGCCACCTAGAGGCTGTCTCCTTGTGTCTGCTTTTTCTTTGCACGATGGGCAGCACTTTGTACTAGCCCGGTGTCGGAAACGTGAAAACAGCTAGTTTGTCCTTATTTATGTTGCCATGTGGATAAACTAGATTTTCTCTTATCGTTCAGCCACTAAATACATTATGTAAACCTGTGTCACCCGGTCTATGTGTTCCATCATGCGTTACGTTCGTTCACAGGTTTACAGTTAGTCTTTCTTTATTACGCTGGTCTTCCACCCCTCCGATTACTTATTTTCGCAACCATTACGTTGTTCTTAGAACCTGAACGGATTCTGCTGGCATTGGGACGGTAAGAGTTTTATCTCTTGCCACAATTTTGGATTGTTGATCACTTGGTCTTGCAAGCAGCCGGAACGGCCCGTTTCAGTGACATGTCCCCACGGTCAGTCGATGTGCACTACTTTACTTACTTTGTGTTTTCTTGATACTATACACTTTTGTCTCATATCTGTTACTTTTTCACCGTCCTTAATGGGAATGCTTATCATTATTGTTCGCTATCTCACTTTCAGAATCATGTGTTTCGGATGTCGTAGCAATGTTTTGGTTAGTATTGTTTGAAGCAAACATTAGGCTGACTGGACTAGTAATTCAGATTTTTTGTTTAGACTGCGGATGTTCACCACACTTTTATATAACTTCTGCATAGGAGCTTCTGCTTGCACACTCCAATCACAGACATCTTGCTCTTCTTGGGTGCCACAAAGCGCACCAAGGAAAGTGTTGCAAGTATTTCTAAGTTAGTACTGACAAGCCAATTTGCATACCAGCGATGAGTCAGAAGTGTTTTTGTTTCTCTGTATTGCCACAAGAGCCCAGCGAAGAGCCAATGACAAATCTGCACCTGTTCACTACATAGACGTCAAACTTGTGAAGCAAACTACACTCTGTGAACTGGGTGCACACTTTATAAATCCCCTCTTACCTTCAGAGAAAGATGTACTTTCAGCACTATACAGTACCAGGATCAATGTTTTAGATGATAGCCAAATACACTACCCGTTTTTTTATCGAGAATTTAGTTGGCAGCTGGTACTCATCCACTGGCGTTGCAAGTCCCAACCAGAGCTGCTTTGGATTTGGTCCCAACAATTTTGGGGAGGAAGAAAAACCTTATCGCCGACAACTATGGCGAAGGAGCTGAATACCAGAAACCTTACTCTGGCTAACACAATGAAAACGAACAAGGCCCGCATTCCATCAAATTTTTGGCGACATTGGTAGTCAGGACATTTTAATACGACTGATCACGCCGAGCGTTTCACTCTGTTGTTCCAAAGAAGAACAACATAGTTGTATTTTTGTCCACTATGTATTCCCAAAAACAGGACTGCTGCAGATACTGGGAGTGGACAAGATCGTGAGGACAGCAATGATCAAATGTGCCGCTATCACAATACAACTAGGTAAAAAATGTGGGTATGTTTGGAATGGTTGCCTTGCCTTGAACGCATTTGTGCTAATCTCTGGACGAACGCCATTATCAATGGAACCGGATCTTGCTTTGATTACCCAATATACAAACCGAAAGATAATAAATCACTCGCAGTCGCTCAATTGTTCCAGAGGCGCCCACAACACCCAAATGCTAAGCAGCCTTATACAGGACAAGAGATGTCTATCCCAGATCATGTAACAGAAAAACCAAACTAGTCTGTAACGAATACAAAAAGATTGTGTGCGAAGAGCATACCATGCGATTCTGCAGCCAACGCTAACAATGACATTTCCCCTACGGCGGGGTGCACACAAAATAGTGTGATAGAAAGCTGTCGTTATGGTCACATTGCATCTGAGCTTTTCCACGATACCAGAACATACTCCATCACTTTGCGTGTTCGGTCCTTTGCTGTTCCTGCACTGCGTCAATGACATCACTATGTCCGTAAAACATGGTTGTCCACTTTTATTCACAGACGATCGTCTATAAGCTTTGGCGTGATGAACTGCACGGAACGCCTTAGCTCATTCAAGGTGACTTATATTACCTCGAAGCATGGTGGCACACGTGGATGACGAACCACTCGGATAGGAAAGCAAGTACCATGCCATACGGCCGTTCGATTCCTGCATTGAACAACGCACGCACTCATCCACGCGCGATCTCAATGTTGCGTGCATATCTACCTTCAGTTTCTCCGAACAAACCCAGTACCAATTAGTCCCTGCCAATTTTTGCTTTATATAGCTAACCAAATCCACACAACGCATGCTAGAGTTGAGCGTTTTAAGCCACTCACCGCCCCATTCTGCAGTATGTAGCTAATATGCGGCGACATAAGAGTGATAGTAATACTCTGGAACATATGCAGAGGTTGATTACCATATATATGATTGGTAAGTATTCTGTCACGAATTAACAAGCACGCTGAAAGAAGCTTCAACTGGAATCACTTAGGATGCGACGATCGAAGCATAACTTGGTGCTGCGTTACGAGCTGCCATACAAAGTACGTATTTCAATCAGCCTACAATCGGATTGCAACACAGCTAGATTAGAGAGCTTCGCAACGGATAGATCATTCGGGGAAGAACAAAACTCGGCCTTGAGTTTATCCACATCCCGGCTACCCCCTCACTTTAGGGAACTCGAGACATATAACTGCTTTAAAATTCTCTAAATATCGTCGCAATAATGATTGCCTGACACCTTTTATGTACAAACGGGTTAGTGGCATTGTCTCGATTTGTACTGCGGATGAATGTCGTTTAGCCTGTACAGCTTTTTCGAACTGATAGGCCCGTTTTTCTTCCTCTTTAGTTGCTTCATTAGCATCGGAGATAATCTGTTCATGCGTATGTAATTTCAGCAGTGTTGCATAACTCAGCAGGATTTGATATATTCTTTGGGTGCTTAAACTCCGAAAATGAATTTTCGTCCATGTGAACTGAATACTCACTTAAATCCAACATCTCTATTAGTTTCGTAATATTTGCTGTCTTGCAATCTCGCCGCCTGACGATTTCGAAAGATCTTTTTTAAAACCACAAGTTTGGCCTTCTGTAAATGACTGAGCATGTCTTTAGAGCGTTGCCATTCGTGTTAGTGACATCGGCCCTCTTTAGCATCTGGAAACAGATGAGTCTTGTTTGTGAAAATAATCCGACTGTGCGCCTAGCTTGTTTCGAAGGGCATCGCATATTTTGGACCATTTGCCATGATGGATGTCGTGTCGCTTGCTAGACACTAGCAACGATACAGAGGAAGCACTCGGTTTTGGGCAGTAACGCCGGGGGGAAATCTTCCGTAAAGTTCTTGAGCTCAAATGATATTGTGTCTGCAATTATATGAACATTTGTCAATACGATGGAAAGAAATCCCCTTAATTTCAATTTCCATAACAACCGCTTTTGTGTGCTGAGTGTGTACACAGCAGGGTTACCGAGTTGCACCATAGTTAGTGTACATTTGCAAATTTGTGTTTTCAAGAAGTACCAGATTGATTTTAAGTCCCCTCGTATTTTGAATCGTCCTCTCTAGTTCATACTACACTATAGTATGAATCTGTGTTTTAGTTCCATTGATTTGTGTTCACAACGGAGTGAGTAACTTATTTCCTTATCTTTCGGACACTAATATGTATCTACCGTAACCAACATTTGCCCTTATATAAGGAAATTATCTTGATCATTGTGCCGGATGTGTCATAGCTCGCTTTGGTACTCTCTACTTTCACCTTTAGCTGGCAGCGACGCACTTCCAGAAGATTATGCCACGTACGAGCCAATACACGCAGTGGATTGGCTACCGAGTAAAACCGGGTAAGCTACTTTGCCTTTCCCTCATTTCTACGCAGTCTAAACGGATGCTCAGTTGCTTAACACTATCACAACTTGGGAAATTCATGGCACCTGTTATATCAAGGCCGCAATCGGGGATACACTTCTATAGCGGAGTAGTAAATATCATATGATGCATATTTTCTAAGGCGAGTTAAAGCCGCGCAAATAAATGTTATTGCAAATCAATTCACTCAACGGAAAGTTAATGCAATTCACTGCCTATCAGGTAGCCTCGAGGATCCTCTCATCCTCCCCCCCCCCTTTTTCACAATAATGACTGATGGAGTTTGACTTCGATCATCTTGCCTGGTAGACTGGCACAGCGAGGTAGCTTGTCGCTGCGATTTGGTCCGTCACTGAAATTAGTCCGCCGACTTATCGCGTTCACGATTAAACCCTTTTCCCGTCTATATTTTCACAAGCCGCATGTCTGGAGGGCTTTAGCGGTACAGAGGGATTTGGGATACCTGTAAACCGGATTTAGGCGCCAGCATGCAGTGAAAATGTTGACGTGGTATATTATTTCTAGTATTATTCTATACGTCCTGGACTTTCAGAGATCAAGTTGTGGGTAGTGCTACAACTCTTTGCCGAACATCCGTCCGATGTACAGTTTTGTCGTGACTCAAACCCCTGTACTCTGTAAGAAAGAAGCACAGTCAGTACGACATGTTCACCATCCGTCCAACTCGACTACCTTGTTAAACCATTGGTACACAAAACTGTCGGCGATTAACCATTCACGAAGTTTGTCAGAGTATTTGGAGGACTTGTGTCAAAAAAGATTTATTCCAGACTCAAACTTCACACTGCGATTCTGTTCTTCAAACTAATCACCCTTGAGTCCGACGTACTGCAACGCTTTTCTTAAATCCGGGATCCGGGATCCTCTGTAGCTCCGTCTATTTTGATGTCGTACACATCTTCAAAACAGGTTCATTGCCGACTCCCTTGAGTTTGGAGAGAGGGAAAAATCACATGGCCAGGTCGGGTGACTTCGGAGGTTGTTCCAGCACGGCGATGTTCTTTTCGGCCAGGAACTGTCGAGTGCTCAGGGCATTGTGTGTCGGCGCGTTGTCATGGTTAAGCAGCCACCATTTGTCCTACCAGAACACTCGTCTCCTCTCACGCATTGAAGGAAACAAACGCTACAGTGTCTCTTTATAGACATGTTGGTTGATCGTCTGTCCTTGTGATAAGAGCTCACAGTGGACGGTCTGCCTCATATCCAAAAATAGGATCAACATGACTTTGGAATTCTACTATCGGGCTTTCTTCCAGCAATAGAAGATACTTTGCTGGTTGTGTGAGCAGCTTGTCACTGCTGAATAGACCACTTGGTCACACCTACAGACCTCATGCCACTTGCCGTATATGCATGCCGCAGCGTTTTTTTCAATGCGCAGTAATCAAAGTATTCCTAATTCCAAGTGTAATCTTTATTCAAGGTCTCACAGAATAGGCTATTGATTTTATGAACGCATCGGTAGCCACCGGAGTGGTGCCGAACTGGATGTTTGTTCGAACAACTTCTGGTTTTCCTCTAGGAACGCAGGCATATTTTTTGCTGGTCTCGCGCTGCATGCTCATAATAACAGCCTATCGCGAGGGGGCCGGTCATTGCCGTGTTGCGATGGCTTCCGTACTTCGGTTATCCGATTAGGTTACACTGTGTGGCACTCTCCTTCAGAGACATTCAGTGCTATTCGGTCAGTAGTCAAAGATCGGACAACTTGATGTTCTCGCCTCTCTCATTTGATATTGGGGAGAGGTTAGTGACCCTATCATCTCATCCCCCAACCATGGAAGGCGATGACTTACGTATTATGCCTACTTCGTTTGGTGTAGAGTACGTGACCCCGAATTATCTCCTTATGCGAGGTCATCAATCTAGTTTGTTTCAACCCATTTCAGGCCGGGCGGTCCCTTGCCGATAAATTGACAGATGCGCTAAATCACACCCACGGTTAACTGTTTTCGGGATAGATCCTGTGGGTTCATCAGAAAACGCGCATGAGTTATTTCGCATTTTTCCTTTTGCGTGTTCCCTACCTCGAACACTCATGCTCTGCATCGGTATTCGAACTAGAATATTCAAGTTAAGTCTCTGGGTGCAATTTGTCAATCTAGCCTCCATTCCATGCAAAATTTTCCCTTGATTTATTTTACGATTGCGAGAAAGAACAAGGTTTCAACAGGATATTCCGAATTCGGATATTTAGCGTATTCTTATCCGCCGTTAATGGACAGTCTGTGGAATAATAGTGCTCTGTTTAGAAGAAATCAACGTTCAAAGTCGCTTAGTTACAATTTAACATAATCCAAGTACCTTACCAAGGCAGTGCGAGGCTGGTCATAAGCTATGTTTGTTTTGCACAAATTCACTTTCAGCCTTTTAATTGCTGAAACTTCATAAAACTGAAGCAAGCGACCATTGTTTTGTCGGTTACTTAGCTTATAGGATTCGCGGGGATTTTAACACATGGAGCAGTCTAGAATATGCTGAGCAATGGGGCTTGCTGGAAGCTTGGGATCATTCGTGTGCCTCCATTTGTTTGACATCCATGTTGAGTCAGCGGCTGGAGGTTGTGACTCTACGAAACCCTTTTCTTAGAGTGAGCATTCGGAAAAAATCATCCACACACAAATCTCTGTTAACAACACATAACAACACTTTTTCTTTTGCGTTGTTTTCCTCCTTTTTAGCAAGCAAGTATTTGCCGTTGACTCTACAACGAATACGGATCATCTATCTTGTCCTACAACCCAAGATCCCGTTTTACGTTCTTTCCTTAAATAGCTGCACTCTAGGTCATAACAGTCAACAAACATCACTGGCTCCCTCTCTTCATTTTTTGAGTTGGTCTCCCAGAAGTACGCATACGTGGGGGCTTGGAGAGGATTGGGCCCCTGTTTGGCAACCGTCCAAGCGAAAAGGTGTATAGACTGAGTAATCATTCACCGGATTCCAATTACTGCGATTCCCTGAATTCGCTCCGCTGCCTTATAGGTAGGCTAAGGCTTGGGGTGATGTCCCCTAAGACAACTTCCCGTCTCGATTTGAGCAACCGGGTAGTATCTCGCCCGCTCATAGAATCATGGATCCCGTAACTACTGCTACTTCGTCCTTCTCTTCTCCTCACGTGCTCTTCACTGCCAAACTAACTACTTGCCACCTTTACCTAAGTCACTAACTCCTTTGAATCTGCTTCCGATGACAGTCTCGCCTACGCCCTTCGACCTCTATCTCCTTGTCGGCGGGCAGCCCTCAACGTTCGAACCCATATGCAGATCGGACAACAGGCTGGCCTAGCGCGCACTCTGGAGCCCCTCGCTATTTATGTTTGTAGTCTTTGAGAATTGATTAACAGACGCCAGCACCGAACTGGTCAACCACCTCCTCTATACGTCCCTCCCCTTTTGATTTTTGGAGAGCTCGCTTGAACATATCGACAAACCTTTCTGCCTGGCCATTCGACTGTGGGTGAAACGGCGGCGAGCAAATGTGCTGGACGGCGCATTTCTTGCAGAACTCCGTAAAAGTTGCTGCAGTGAATTGTGTGCCATTGTCAGTTACGATTGTCTCTGGAAAGCCGAATCTGCTGAAGGTTTGGCGCAGTCTTGATACAGTGACATTGGTGGCTGTGCCATCCATGAGACATACTTCAGGCCACTTGCTGTATGAGTCAACCGTTGATCGGTCCTGCGAAGTCGATATGGATGTGGCACCATCGTTTAGTAGCTTTTGGCTATGCATGGAGCTCCGATTTTAAGACACTTGCGCACATTTGGCAACGTTTAGCTATTTCTTCTAGCTGTCTGTCCATGAAGGGCCAGTATACATAACTGCAGGCAAGCGCCTTCATCCGGTTGATCCCAGGATACCCGGCGTAGAACTGCCGAATAAGGCGCTCCTGAAGGGCCTTGGGGATGAGTACTCTTTCCGAAAATGGTATGGAGTCGTTCACAATAAAGATCGAACATCTCCTCTGGAAATACTGTTGCAACTCGACAGATGGACATGAATGTGGACAACTTGTTTTGTGGAACTGTGTAACTTTCTTGAGTATTGGGTCCCGAAGCGTTTCGGTTCGAACAGATTCTGCGGTAACTGGTAGATCGTGCAATGCATCAGTTACCAGAAAGTTGACGTCAGGTTCAATCTCGACCGAGGCAATGATTGTGTCCTCATGTTCTTGCTGACGGGCATCAATTAGGCGTGACCGTGCATCCGTTTGGCTAATGGAAATTGTCGACTGGTAGTGAATCTCGAAATCATACCTCAACGTTGTTCCTGTTTGGCTGTGTAGGTCCGGATACCATTTTTTGAACCCAAGATAGGCAGCAAGGTTTTGTGATCTGTAAGAAACTTGAAGCGGCGGCCGTACAGCATTTTGTGGAGTTTATTGACCGCTAACACTATGGCCAATGCGTCTTTCTCGATCTGGCTGTAATTCTTCTCGTCCTTCGTAAGTGTTCTGGCGGCGTGGGCGATTGCTTTCTTAGGTCCATCGGTGTACGTGTGTGAAATTACTGCGTCAATCCCGTGGCTTGATGCATCTGTGGTTAGGACAATCTCTTTGGAGGGATCAAAATGAGTCAAAATCAAGTTTGAGGACAGCAGTGTCTTGACCCGTTCAAAGGCAATCTGGCATTCTGATGTCCAGTTCAAGCTTTGGTCTTTGGCTAGTAGCTCGTTCAGCGGGGACCGCAGGCGGTGCATCTCAGGCAAGAATGCGCTGTAGTGGCTGATGAGCCCACGAAAGGAACGCAAGGACTGTAGGTCGGTTGGTCGAGGCATTTTTCTAATGGCTTCTACGTTTGCCGGTTCTCGTCGAAGTCCATCCTTTTCAAGCGGAAAGCCGAGGTATTTGCTGGTCGGCTTAAAAATGTGCATTTGTCCTCACGGATCCGGAAACCATACGACTGTATATAACCAAGCACTTCATCTAGGCGGTTAAACAGTTCTTCCGGTGTTC